TGCACTGTCCTCTGGCACCCCAACATCACACCACAGCCTGTTGGACTGGTGAATCTCCTCCATGGTCCAGAGATATACTTTCTCCAGAAGGTCTTTCCTCATTTCCCTGGGAAAAGTAAAGCGTAAGGATCCCACACACAAGCTTAGAGCCACCTGTACTCAGGGCATCCATTCTTTCTGCTGTGAGAGTTTGAGAATGGAGAACACATTGGTCTCTTCCAGCCTCGTGAGAATGGTGGAGGGGGAGTGGTTGGGGGAGAGAACAAACATGACAATGAAAACAGTGATAAGAATATCAATGACCAAAAAAAAAATTTTAAGGGGGGGGGGGTGCTGGGGATTGAACTCAGGGTTTCTCTACCACTCAGTTTTATCCTCCCAGTCCTATTACTTTTCTCTTGAAGTTGCCCAGGCTGGCTTGGAACTTATGATCCTCCTGCCTCAGTCTCTCCAGTTGCTGGGATTACAGGCATGCGCCACCGCCCGGCATGTCAACCTGATGCTTATCCAGCTCATACCATTATCCTGGCTGCTTTTCATACACTATTTTTTTCATAAACCTGCATGTTATTTGCTTTAATGAAGTATAGCATGCCTAGAGAAAAATACAAATGCTAAGTGGAGAACTCAATAATGCTTCACAAAATGAACACACAAGGGAAACCACTATGCAGATTAAGAAAGTGAGCCCTCAGCACCCCAGGAATCCTGCTTGCATCCCCTTCTGTCTTTATCCTTCTAAGGGGGCACCACTATCCTTGCAGCTAATGCCACAGAATCATTTTGCTCGTCTTTGAGTTCCAAATAAATGAAATCCTACAATTCCCTTTCTTGTGCACCTGCTTCTTATGCTCAAGGTTGTTGATTTATCCAAGTTGCAGTGTGTAGCCCTGGTGTGTTCTTTTTCTGGCCTGTGAGGTATTCCATTGTTGGTGGCACTTCGGTAGTTTATAGGTTTTGGTGAGTATGCATAGTGCTGTTGACTCTTTATCCACATCTTTTGGTGGACAAAAGATCTGGACACATGCACTCCTTTGGTCTCACCGAGTCACAGGGTCAGCAAGTGTTAATTCCAACAGGTTTCACCAGACAACTTCTTAGGTTTTCTACCAGCTGTGCATGAGAGTTCTGGATCAACACTTAATTCTCACAACCACTCTCTGCATGCAGTGTCAAAGAAAGCTGTCCTGTTTCTTCCCCATTGTGTGATCCTGGGGCTGAGCCTCCCTCTCCTTTTTCACCAAAAGGTTTTGTCCATGACCCCAGCTTCACCAGAGGTATCTGCTAGGAGTTTGCCTCTTGGCAGGTTTGTGGCCCTGAAGTCCAGTGTAGGCAGTGCCAATAGAGTGTTCCAGAAGATTTTTTACTTGTGACCTGGCTAGATTTGTTGTAGGCTTTCTGCTTTCCCTCTGAGTTTATGAGAACTTCCCTTTAATGTCATTTCTGGGTTGGGTCAATGGTTTGCAACTCATACAAGGATGCTATTTTGTTCCCATGTGGAAACAGAAGCACAGAAAGTTTGGGTCTGTTGTTCAAGGTCACACAGCTGAAAGCAGCAGAACTAGGATTCAAACTAAATTTACATCTCATTCAGAACCTTGTGTCTATAAAGCGATTTCTCATAATTTTTCCCTAAAAATTAGAAATACATAACTAAATGACTTGCTCCTGGTCACACAGTGAATCAAGAAGCCAGGCCTACGCTGGGGATAGAGCTCATTGGTAGAGAGCTTGCCTAGTATGTGCAAGGCCCCAAGTTCCATCCCCAGTACCTAAAAACAAGAAGATAAGTCAGGCCCTGTGACTCCCCACCCTACAGAAGTTCTTGCCCTGGAGGGTGATTGTGGAGCCTCAAGATGCCTGAGAGAGTACTAGGGTTGCATTTTTTCATGTATTTGTTGAACAATTCCTTATTCACTGACAACATGGGTCAGACACTATATTAGGGACCAGCAACACAGTAGGAAAAAAAAAAAAAGAGAGAGAGAGGAAAAACCAGAGCTGGTTTTGCCTACAATGTCAGGCAATAGGGCCTCGAAGGATGAAGTGAGGCGCTGGACAGAGTGCCTAGGGAAGAGTGGCATGTTAGTCAGATTTTTGTCACTGTGACCTAAATACCTGACAAAAACACTTAGAAAAGTTTATTTTGGCTCATCATTCCAGAGCTTGTCCCATGTGTAGCTCTGGGCCCAAGGTGAGGCAGAACATCAAAGCAGAAGGGCCTCAAGGAGGAGCACGGCTCTACTCATGATGGTCCAGGAAGCAGAGAGAAGAAAGGGGGAAGTGGCTAAAGAAATCACACCCTTCCAGAGCACACCCCCAGTGACCCACCTTCTCCAACCACACCCCACCTGCCTACGGTTACTACCCAGGCGGTCCATTCAACATAGGCTGGACTGATGGACGAGGTTCCAGCTCTCACGATCCACTCACTTCACCTCTGAACACTGCTTCATCAGTGCAGGAGCTTTGGGGGACACCTCATATCCAAATAGTAACAGGTGGCATTTTAGCCAGGCAGGACTGTAAAGTCCTCTGAAGTGACACTTGGGCAGGCACTAAACAAAGGGAGGAGCCAGGGGGAGCTGAAGACAGGCAAAGAGCAAGGGCCAAGACCCTGCAGTGGGCGTGAGCCTGGCACATTTAAGGAACTGCATGAGATGAGGCTGGAGGGAGGCAGTGAGGCAGAGCTTGGTATGACGTGAGGACATAATGGCAGTGAGGCAGCCATGCGAGGCCGTGAATTCTGTTTTGAGGCTGGCAGGAAGCCTGCAGAAATCTCTAGATGCTGCCAGGTCATAGGTGGTTGACCAATGCGTTAGAAGGTTCGTGCTGGCTGTTAGGCAATGAGACAGGGGATAGGAGTCTGAGGTGAAGGCAGAGAAATAGTAGAGGGCTGTGAGGTATCTGGGCAGGGCATGGGCTCCAGGACACTGACACTGAACGGCATTTGTGGCTGGTGGGGAGTTCTCAGGGACAGAGAACTTTGGCTTGGGGATATGAAGGGATGAGAAGATAGGGGCTGGGATGCCTGGACCTCAATGAGGGACAAAGCTGGGGCTGTGGGCCAGAGCAACAGTGCCACCTGTGAGGACACATGGAAGCCAGGGGAGCTGTGTGGTCCGAAGACAGGACCTGGCCTGGAGCCAAGGGAGTCCAGAGCAGCTCTACAGGGCTGGGCTGGGCTGGGAGTGAGGTGAGTGACATGTCAAGAACAGGTTGTAGAGGCTGGGGTTGTGGCTCAGTGGTAGAGCACTTGCCTAGCAAGCATGAGGCACTGGGTTCAATCCTCTGCACCACATAAAAATAAATTAAATGTCTACCTGTGCCAGGCTCAGGTTGTGATGCCAGGCAACGTCACAAGAACCTGTCTGTTTGGCACAGAGTTGACGGGATTTCCTTCCAACCCTGTAATGTCATCGTGCACTTTAAACAGCTGCTGAGCTGGGTGGCAGTTTCTTGGGCCAAGGCAGGTGCAACCAGTGCAAAGAGGCAGACAAGCTGGGAAGCCCAGGACGGGTTCTTAGCAGAGAACTCCTGTCCCCAAAGGGCTGAGTCCAACACGGAGGTTGGGGGGGTCTAGCTAATTGAGGAGTCAGCTATACTTCCCAGTTATGCAAAGCAAATTCCAGAAAAGTTGGTTTTGCAGTTGGCAGTTCAAATTCAACCTTGCTTCAGTGAAGAAGACTTGTGGCCCCTGAGGCCTGAAGCCAGCTGCAGAGCCTCTTGGAGGGTTGGAAGGGTGTCAGGCACCTGGAGCCCTGCACCTGAGAGGTTGGGAAACACCTTCATATGGGCACTGCTCAGGACAAAGGGTGACCTTTGACAGTACTTTGGCTTGGAACCCCACTGAGACCAGGTCAGTGGCCACTGTTCCTGTCCTCCCTCTGAAGCACCCTTCCTTGAAGACCCTTTTGTCCCCTCCTGTTTCTGCCAGGACTTGAGCACCAGATATGGCATCTCTCTTCCCGGACCACTAACTTCTCACATATTCCTCTACCTCAACTTCCATTCCCTCTGCAAAAACCCCAATGAAGGCGCAGCCTGTTTGTGGAGCTCTTTGTGGTCCTGCATCATGATCTGTGAATCCTCATAACAACCCTGAAGCAGGGATTACTGCTCCCCCCAACACCCCACCTTTTTGTACCAGGGATTAAACCCAGGGGTGCTTAACCACTGAGCCACATCCCCAGCCCTTCTTATTTTTTATTTAGAGACAGGGTCTTGCTAAGTTGCTTAGGGCCTTGCTAAGTTGCTGAAACTGGCTTTGAACTCATGATCTTCCTGCCTCAGACCCCCAAGCTGCTGGGATTACAAGCGCATGCCACTGTGCCTGGCGGTTGCCCCCTTTTGATGGATGAGGAAACTGACCTTTGGAAGGTTCTGGCTGCATTACACAGATAGATGGTGACCCTTGCAGCCACCTTATCATTTTGACCTTGTCACACCACTAGCTACAGCCACTTCTTCAATGTTCTCCATTTTTGCTGGCTCACTTACGGGGGCTTGGCTGAGCAGCTACAATCCCAGGAGATCACCTCTTCTTAGTCCCTCTTCCCACTGAGAGTCCTCCCCTGACTAGAAGTCACTTCAATGACTAGACATTTCTTTCTTTCCCTGCTCATGGGCTGTCCCCAGCCCTCTCATCCCTTGTAACATCACTCACCCTCATAAGGGGATGAACACTCGTCCTCTCCTGTTCATTAAATTGTTTGTGGACATCTGCCCCTAGACGACTGCAACCTAACATCCAAACCCTTGAACACTAACACTCCACCTCCACCACATCCTTCTCTGAGGCACCATTTCTGCCACTCCTCCATCTGCCAACATCAACCAATGTCACTATTCTCCCTCCCTCACCCTTCACAGCCATCACCTGCCTCCCTCCACTTCCTGCTTCCAATGCCATCACCCTGGTTCTCCTTTCCAGTGTGCACAGGGCCCTGGAGAGCATCAGCTGAGAGATTGTAAGAATTAATTACCAACTTCCTCAACCATTCACTCATTCAACAGTTATTTATTGAGCAGCTAGGACAAAAAAGACAAACTTTGCCCTACCCCCCAAACTTAATCCCAGAAAAAAATAAGTTAAAACCAAACATGTCAGAGTGCCCTGGAAAAGGTAAGGCTGAGTAGTGACAGGTAATGTTTAACTTGGGGTACTGTTTTACACTAGGTTATCTGTAAGGCCCCTCCTCCCCAAAGAGGCTGGCATGACTAAGGTCAACCAACAGGGCCAGATGGAATATAACTTCCAAGAAGGTATGCCCTCAGTTTTGGTTAATAAAGATCCAGAGACTTTGTTTCTTTGTACTTGGAAATACTTGGCCAGAGATGGGGCTAAGTGGTAGAGTAACAGTGTTGATCAGTCTTTTTGCTGACCAATCTGTTCTTAAAATTTGAACTGTATGTCATTTCCCCTTACAAAGGGAAAAACTGAAATCAGAAAGAATTAATCATTTCCATGCAACTATCTCCCTTGAGGGGCCCATTTTCTCATCTGCCGCTTCTGTGGGAACACTGCCCAAACAGAACCTTTAGCCTGAACCTTAAGGACTGCTATTCAAGTATCTGTGAGCACCGGCCACGTGCTGGTGTTCAAGTGTGGGTAGACCAGAGGCCTACAGCCACTACAGTGAGATGGCTTCCCTCAGGAGGTGGAAAATGGTATTTGCTAAGAACCAATATGCTCCTCTGGGTCTCTCCCATATTTCCATGGCTCTCTCCTTTGGTTATTGCTAAACCTGGACTAGGCCCACTCCTCTCTTTATTTTCATGTACCACTCACTGCTGCATCTTATCTGAAAGCCATGAACATATTGCCATACTGAGGAAATCCCCACTAAACACTGGGCAACGGATTAAGATTTAGCCAGCAAACTGGTTTTAGCCACATTCCTGTGCCTACTCCCTGCCCCCACAAATTAAGCCAGGGCTAGAGAGAACTTCCCTGGGCTGGCTCTGTGGGGTGGAGGTGGTATACAGGGAGGATTGGCTCTGCAAGTGGCAAAGGCCTGAATAAACAAGAACTTTCCAGAACTCAAGACATCTTGGGTGTGGCACTCACAGGGCCATGGCCAGACCCAGAAGATGGGCTGTTCTGGGCATGGCCCAGCCAGCATGTGGCCAGCCAAGGATGAAATGGCCCAGCCAAGGGTAGGAAATGGGATACAGTCATTTAAATACGCCACATTATCACAATCACTGATTTCTCCACAGCTCCAGTTGTACTCTCAGATAATCATAGGCAGCTAAGAAGGCAAGGCCTCATTTCCCTCTATCTTCAGAGCCTAGAACTAAGTTCAATAGGCAACTAGAAACTGTATGATGGAAGAATTTCAGATTTTAATTAGTGTCAGTGAGCATTAAAAGTCCAGTATTATAAACCAATCATCAAGGGCCAAGGCATCCTAAAGTAAATCCAAACCTAGATTTTTTTTTTTTTTTGGTAATGTGGATTGAACCCAGGAATGCTCTATTACTGAGCTACATGCCTAGTCCTTTTAAAAAAAAATTTTTTTTAAACATTTGTTTTATTTTAAGAACCAAGTTGCTCAGGCTGGCCTCAAGCTTGTGATTTTTCTGCCTCAGCCTCCAATGTAGCTAAGGTTATAACAGTAGATATGCACTACTGTACCCAACTTAGCCTCTACTTTTATAACTGACATCTCTTAGCAGCAAAATTTATTCCTTGAAAAAAAAAAAAAGCCAAAGAAGATTTTCTCTTTAACTACTAAAAAAGGGAAAAAAAAAAAAAAAGATGTTTATGGCTTTGCTGATAGCAGGGAAAAAAAGCTAGTTGAATTTAAAGGCAACCTCAAGTAGTTAATGAACAGTAGTATTGTGACTGGTCCAGATGGATTGATTTTTTTTCCAAGCAAAAAATCAGTTTTATGAATTTTAAGAGGTGGTATGAGGGAGGTTGCCCGGATGCTTACTTTTATAATCCACATGGCTAGTCAATGATTTTTGGGAACCACTGTTTCTGGTAGGCAAAACATTTGAAACCAAGACTATCCCAGGAAATTCGGTTCACATGACTGTCTTGCAGTAATGCATTCAGCCACCTAACAAATGAACTCAAGAATGGTAACTTTTTTCTAGCTTTGTGACCCTCAACACAACACTTAACATTCTGGGCTTACACAGTTAAACTGAGGGAGACAGAGACCCTTTTCAGCTCTTAGTTTAATTTATGATGTGGTCACTGGTAGAAAACCAAGCCCGTTTTTATCAGTTTGTGAGAAGGTGCTTAATCCCTATGAGACTGAGCTTCCTTATCTATAAAGATGATAAAATTGGGAGAAGCCACTTTCAGCAGTGTGGGGGGAAAAAGGACTTCCATAGTCAGGCAGGCAGATGGTGTCAAACCTTAGCCCCCTGTAACTTTAAAGCAGGTTGCCGGACCTGAATCTACTTTCTTCATCTGCGAAATGGGGATAAGAAAGTCTGTCGTAAGAACTGTTGAAGAATCTTGTTTATTCTACCTTATGGTAGGTACAGAGTAAATCAGTTACCTTTGTTTTTTTGTACCAGGGATTGAACTTAGGGGCACTCTGCCACTGAGCCACATCCCTAGCCCTATTTTTGGTATTCTTTTTTTTCAGGGTCTCACTGAGTTGCTTAGTGCCTTGCTGTTGCTGAGGCTGGTTTTGAACTTGTGATCCTCCTGCCTAAGCCTCCAGAGCTGCTAGGATTACAGGCATATTGCACCATGCCCAGCATCAGTTGCCTTATTTTATTCCTATTTCACACTTGGCAAACATGAAAGGGATATCAATGTGCTAAAAAAAAAAAAATTCAAATCTCTTAGGGGAGTGGTGTGAGGGGTTTGTCATCAGATTGATTCTCCCTTTCTTCCCCCTTTCCCACAAGAGGCCTACCTTCTGGTCAACTGCCTATCACTAAGGTTACCACAGTGGTGCTGAAGGAGTAAGGACAGGAGGCTGCCAGGAACAATGGGCACAAACCATGGGAAGTACTGTTCAAGAAAAGAAAAATGATACGGCCCTGACAGAGTCCTGCTAGGCACCATCTCAGGCCTGCTCTGCAACAGCTTCAGGAGGCCTGAAGAACCAGTTTGGGTCACCAGGCTGGGAGACTTCCATCAAAGTGCAGTTAGCTTCCTAATCTCAAGGCAGCTCTCATCATTCCTGAGACCTGGCCGGCAGGACAGTGTGGTGGGACAATGTGGAGTAAGAGGTCCTACTATGAGCAGCGGTTTTAGATTCAAATTATCCACAGGAAGAAAGACTCTTTGCATGTAAACATTTACAGGTCTCCAAAGCCCTGGGAGACTGTCACCTGAGGGAACTGGAAGTGTCCAAAGTCAAGCTCAGGGAAGGAGAAGATGCAGCACTGCTCCAGTCTTCACCAGTGTGTTCCTGGTCTGGACCCTGCAAGGGGCCCCAGATCACATGTTCTAGAGGCTGGCACTGGTGGCATAGGGTCTCCTACTGATCGGGGGACTCATTATCACAACACAGCAACTGCTCTTAGGAAGGGAATGTGTTTTAAACTTGGGAAGAGTCATAATCCTGGGATATTTCACACACATTGGCAGCTTTAACCTCTAACAGTCACAAGACCTCTTCTCTGGGAGGAGGATCTCTCTGTGGTGTGAGGTACCTCCTTTATCAGCAGAAGTATGGTGAAATGAGCCAGGCTTATGATTTAGATTGTGTCCTGCATATAAACACCTGTGAGAACAGAACTGAAGCCACAGGGGATGTATTTAACAGGAGGTGATGACCAGACAGCTTGGTATACAAAAGGATTCTGGGTGTAACCCTAGGAGAGCCTGCAGGTGTCTGCGGTTCTTATATACCCTTCCCTTACTTTGCCACTTGCCACATCCCAAGGTCTGAAGGGCTGATCCTCTTCCCTAGGTGGCTTGCCACAAGTAAATGCCAGAGGACCTCAGAAGCCTGTGGTACTGAAGAAAATTTTAGTCAGAGAAAGTACTCAGCTCTAGTGATGGGATTCTGGGCCACAGGTGGGCTTGATCCACACAGTCCTCAGTCCCTGGGAGCAGCTGTGTGCAGGAGGTAAATGTGCAAGTGGCCTGGCCACACTGACTGCCTACTCACATCACCAGTGCCAGGTATACAGCGGCATGACTGTATGTGCGAGAACTAAGCGCTCCACACAGTGGCATCTGAATCCCTTCCCCATTCCAGGCCAGATGGTCTTCCCAGACAGAAAGGTTCAAGGTCCTGAGGCTTGACTCTTCTAAGGCTCAAAATGGATTGTTTCCAGACTTGACTGTCTTTGTCTGTCTTAAGGTCTCCAACCCTCCACCCTCAGACAAACTGGGACAGATTGGGGACTTTGATGTTGATATCGCCAATGTTGATGTTCCGTGGGATCTCAGGCAGATTCATGTTCTTCACAGCAGACACGGCCCGTGCGGGTGCTGCTGAAAGGCCACCCTGAGGAAAAATGAGAGGTGAATGTGAGACCATTCTCAGTGACATCTGCTTAATGCTTTCAAAACAAAACAAAATACAGATGAAGGAGACCTAGAAAAATTCCAAACTGAGCAAATAACAGAATTTTAAAATTTTTATCCTTATTCCTCAAAGGCAGCCAACAAAACAATTGTTAAGGTAGCTGGGGCTTAGTATGGGGGACCCAAAGCCTGAGCTCATATCAGACTGCAAGCTCCTCCAAGATAGGGCTGTGTCTTATGCAGTTCCAGAGCCTCAGAATCTAACAGCATTTGGTCCCTGGTGGGTGTTAATAGATACTGGCTGAGATAATTTGAAGTGGTATATCCAAGCTGTAAAGAGCATTGAGGAAGTGCTTTTCTGGTTACAAAACAAAATCCTTTCCTCAAGAAACAATCTTATAGATAAAGGCAAAGCCACAGGTTCATTCAAAAATGGAATGTCACAGCTTTAGGGCAATTGCTTGCCAACTAAGAATGTGATATGGAAAAGGGCTGGCTTTGGAAATGTCATGTGGCAATAAGTTGGGACACATGGACGTGCAGGAGGTGGAGTGTAGCAGACACAGAAGACTAGTAACAAAAATAGCAGAGACATCTGTAACAGGCCTACAGGCTCACTCCCAGTGTGGGGAGGGGAAGAGCTAACGTAGGCTCTCTAAATTATTTCCCCTATTAACTACTTTCAGGATATGACTCCAATTCCACCCTCACCCAGCAAATCTCTGTTTCTTCTGGTTTCCAAACCCCTTGCCTCTGACTCACTCACTATTTCTGGAAGTTTTCCAGACTGCCTTTCTCAAAGAACTAAAGCTGCCACAAGAGCTGCGGTCTGGAAAAGCTTCCTCAGCAGGACTGCCAATCCTCACGTAGAGAATTCCTTGTTTCGCAAGATCAGGTTCCATCATACAAAGCAAAGAAACTCTTTTTTAAGACACTCAGATAATTTAAGAGGTAATTTGTTCTGCTATTTCTGCTTAGGTGACTGCTTGTCTTTGACTGAGGAAGGGGACAGAAAGATGTCAAGGGGATAGAACTAACTTCACTCAGAACTTCTTATCAAGCCCAGCCCCATGAGGATGGATTGGGAATGATATTTTCAAATGTGGCCCCAAATCTGCTGTGGCCCTTTAACAGGCTAGCTGGAAATGAGGACATTGGAAACTCTGAAGATATTGGCTGTGAAAAACATCAACCTGCCTGAGATCCCACGGAACATCAACATTGGCGATATCAACATCAAAGTCCCCAACCTGTCCCAGTTTGTCCCAGCATATCCACGTGTCCCAGCTTATTGTCACATGACATTTCCATGATAAATGGCTGCTGGGAGATTAGAGTCATATAGCACACAAACTAGGAAACCACAGTGAACTAGAGAATGGGATTCTGGATCTCTCCAGGGAGCATGTGGCTTTAAGAGAAGAAATTACAAACCACAAACAGGCCATCACCCCCCAAGCCAGAAGCTGTGTGCCTTCCTCTGCTATTTGACTTTTCCATTCACACTTCCATCCTGAAAGTCTAAGACTTCAACTCTCCTGACTTGCTCAATTTTCAGGACCAACCTCCAAGTCAATAAGTTTTGATGGATACAAAGAAGTGAGAAGATGAGGATAAACCATTTCCTAAGGTTCCACAGCAACACAAATTGGCACTTGCACACATTCCTTTCTCTGTCCAGGCAAGCACACAGCTCACCTCTGATTTCTCCAGCCTGTTTTGAGCTTCAATCTGAGCCACAATTTCATTCATGTTTGTTTCCAACACCATCCCACCCATCACCACCTCCTGGAGGATATAGTGCACCTAGAAGGGAAGCAAAAATCAGAAGGTCAGCACATACTCCAGTGATCAGGGCATAGCCCATGAGGTTTCCTTGTCCTGCAGCAGCAGAGTGGTCAAGTGGGGCACCTGGTCCTGATTCACAACTCAAGATTCCTAAGCCCCCTTTCCAGGGAGACCACAGGGATCTCTTCCCAACACGGCATATCACACAGCATAAATAACTTGCAGCAGCAGCAGCAGCAGCAGCAGCAGCAGCAG